GGTATGATTTTATAATACATTATTTTAACTTCTAAATCAGCGTAGTTATCTGAGTCCTTCCTTGCAGGGAAATTCACTTAGACTGTGTTTCCTCTCTACGTGCTTCTAGGTAATTTTCCCTGTTGCTTTTTTGATTTTTAATTTATTTCTTATAAATTCTTGTTTTGCAGGATCTGTTTCATCTAGGACAATCTCCCAAAGCATGAAGTTTATTGCCTGAAAGTTGCAAAGCAGAGTTGACCAAAAGTAGTGGCAGATAAGATTTAAGAGAATACTCTACTCCCACTATATATGTTTGTCTACATTCCTGTAGGTAAGAAATTTGTGTACTGATGTAAACAATTAAATGTTTAATATATTTTCTCATTATGGTGATATTTTCATTATAAATTAAAATTTACCTGTATTTTTACTGCGATTAAGAGGCAGTCACGACTGCTCTTGTATTTATAAAATTTAGAAAAATTAACATATGCTGCTTTTCCTACTAAGAGAGAAGTCCTAGATAAATAAAATCTTCTCACCTTCTGACACAGAAAGAGTTGTAGATATGGAAAATGCTTGTATTTCTATAAAATTCCATATCTATTTAAGTAAAGATAACAGTTGCACATTTACTTTTCCTCTAATTTCCTAGATTATTTTCATATGTGAGAAGAATTTCTTAGAAGTTTTATTTGCATGTTGAAAATAAAGTCCAAATTATTGAGTACAAGATTTGAAAAAATTTGCTCCAAAGTCAAGCAAGAAAGCAGTGTCTCAAAATGGGCAGCACGTGCTTGTACTGAGCACAGAGCCAGGCTGAAGAAGGATCCAGGTTACTCACAGAGAAGCACTGTAATATCCTTTAGATCATGCTCTGGGATCCAATGCCTTTAACATGATATCAAGGCACGAGAGAGAGCTCAGAGCATCAGTTCGGAATGCGCTGGACAGAGACAAGTGTACAGCCAACCAATGGCAGCAGCAATCACTCTGATACTGCTCCAAACCCACCTTCTTCAGACTACCTTTTGGGTTGTTGGAAGGCAACTTGATTCAGCTGGGATCCAAAGCCGGTATCCCACAGAGACAGAAACTTTTTTTTTTTTTTTTCCCTTTTTTTTTCCTTTTTTTTTTTTTTTTCCTGTCATTGAATTTAGCATACATTCACTTTTTATTTCAGCAGAGACCCAGAGAAGGATTAGTTTTCATAATGTGCCCAGAGTTCAGCAAATGCTCTTGGGAACCCACACGCTTATATCTGAGAGCTCTAATCCACAGATCATGTCTCCCAGGAAATTTTCCAGACTGCAGGTTTATACAGTGAGTTCTCTTTAGGCTTCTGAACCTTGCATTTGCTTCCGTGTAAATGCCATTCCACATAAGGTGGCACTCCTAGATGCAATGGGAAGCTTCAAAGGAAGGATTGGCTCCTCCTAGAGTGCTCCAGACTGATGGCAGCTCAGAGGGGAGGAGTGTACTGGCAGGGTGCAAGCAGAGAATGAGAATATATAAAGACAGAGAGTGGGCAAGTCAGAAAAGTATTCAACTGACAGATGATGGACAGAATACTGGAAAACCTTGCCATCTGATTGGATAGGTAATAAAGCCCTGTGATTTGATAATCACAATTTGCAGGTTAATATTACAAGAGGAGATTGGAAGACAATGAGTACTCTTAACACTTGCTTCACCAAGAAAACAGTGAAAGACTTTAAAATATTATTATACTTTGTGTTGAGAATAATTGATTGATTTGATTGCTGGTAACAGAGACCAATTCCTAGAGTAAAATAATAAATATTAGGTTTAAATACTACTCAGAGATTAGTGAAGATTAAATTGTACAGGTGCTCAGAGAACTCCAATTTTTCGGTATGTCCTTACCAAATTGCTGCAAGTTTTTGCATTGGATTAGGGTAGCCACTCAATCTGAGGCACATTCAGTTGATTCATTCAGGTGACTGTATTTCTTTTCCCTGAGCTGCATATTGTTCCCCACTTCATGATACAACTACTAGTTTTATAAAACTAGATTTTATTTCAGTTGTTATGTCCCTTAAATATGTGTCCACACTTTGCTTTCTCAGCATGAATTTCACACTGGTTTCCCTTCTGAGACTTACTGAGCATGCTTGGGAAGCTGGGTGCTCTATGTTTCTTGTTTCCACCAGGAGGGAAAGGTCTTGGAGTGAGTAGTGTTGTGCATAAGGGGTATCAGGGGACACCAGGTATGGACACGAGACAGCCTCTCTCTTGAAAGAAACCCTGCAAGAAACTAAATTAGTGATGCAGCTGTACCCACTGAGGTCACAAGCAGCTTAATTTAATTTTCCTGGATTTTTGGTCGGTGGCTTACAACTGTGTTTATTAGGAGTTTCTGGAAACTGAAGATTATCGTCATTACTGCCAGTCAAAGCCTGACAAAAGTGTTACGTGTGTTTGTAATTAGGTGGTCCAGCTCAGCTGGACATATCTGGCACTGACCAAGGATGGAAAAGAGCTCAGGACAAAACAAGTAAAAAGAATAAAATGCCAGTGCCTTTCTGGATGTCACTGGATAGCGGTGCATATCTCACCTAAGAAAGGGGTTTGGGACACGCCCCCACATGTCACAGGTGTGGTGTGGGGAATAGGGCAGAGAGGACATGCAGTGGGGTCAGCAACAGCCACAGACAAGTCTTGGAAGTTCAAGGATATTGCAAGAGAATACATTATTAATTTTAATAGTGTCTTGTCCATTTACCTCAGTATAAATAAGATGTCACTATCACTTTCTACTGAAGAGAGACGTATAACAATGTTCTAATGCTCTAGTTAAGAGAGTAACTTTTCTAGCAATGCTAAAATAATTTTCTTGGTTTTCTTTCTTCGTAGTCAGTTAATAATGTGACATTTTTCTTGGCTTTAACTGTGTGTCCCTGAAGGCATGTTAAAGACCCCCCTTTATTACAGCAGTGGGAATCATGTCGCTGAAGTGACGGAAGCGGAGATACTTATTAAAATTCGGCCCCTGCTGTTTGTAGTTTCTCGAGACTGCACTTTGGCAAAATTTAAAATAGACTTACGTGATGCCTGACAACTAGAAATTATGCTATAACCCAAGTGTTGGGTGAGGATTAGAGAAGAAATTATGGACTACTGTAACACCTGTAAAGAGAAGTGATAGTGGATTGTTTAATGTTGCATTTAGCAGATAATTGGTTTTGTGGCTGATGTGAAGCAGATCTCTTGGTGTACTGTGATTGTACACAAAAAGATCATACGGAGTACTATTTGAATGTTTGCGAGGCATTCGCAGTGTTTATCTGCTGTTCTCAAGTCTCTGAGGGAAATGTGATGCCACTTCCTTTGAGCCTGTCCACCTGAAAAACATTTTAAATAAATACTTAATGTGACATGTATCAGAAGAAAACAAAATTGGTACTTGACAGCAACTAGTTTACAGTGTTTCCTGAAATCAGCAGCTCCTGTTTGTCTTGTAACTTAACACAACAATTCTGTTTTCACCTCTAGTGTTTATTTCCCTTTCCCTTTCAGGCAACTGCAAAAGCCAGAAAATAGCCTTTCTGATAATGCCACTGAGATTTAGAGCATTAAAGCAATCTCATTATCAGTTTACATCCCCAGTTGGAAATCTGAGATTGTTCAGCACATCAAACAGTAGAGTGGGGGCATGTAATGTGCAGCCCAAGGGCCAGATGAGACCTGCTGAGTCATATAATGTGGGCTCCAGCTGCCCTCTGCCTGTATCTGAGGGATGAGGACAGAGCTGCTGACTGGTGCTGCTAATGAACTCGAACTACCATACATTATTTTCCATCTGCATGCCAAATATGGTTATATGCACTTACAACAAATGTCTGTGGTTTATATGCAAATCGGATGTGACCCCTGGGCTCTTGGCAAGTAACCTGTAAACCTTCTGGTCTGAAGAACATAAGCCTCTTGCTAAAGCTGATATTAGTGCATGGGGCTCGAGGCTGCCTTGCAGAGTGAGCTCAGGCTGCTCTGTGCTCAATGGCAATGGAGAAGGCCTAATGGAAACCCCTTTAGCTCATCTTTCCCACTCAGCTCTTGGACACATGAGTAAGAAGGGAGGGAAAGAATATTCTGTTGGTCTGATGCTCGCTGTATAAATTCTTGCTGTCTCAACCCTTCGATCTTGGCAGCCAGGTACATGTACAACCCCCATCACATCACTGAGGTCTTGATGATGAATCTGCAAATGCCATTACGCTGTTGAATTTTTATTGCCGTGGAAAGATGTGCAGATGAAATGTATAATCAATATAAAATATTTTTGTCATACCCGATTTGAACAAAATCTATGATAGTTTAAAATTCAGAGGTTTCTTCTGTGTTGAAGTTCTACTAATCCATTCATTAACAAAAAATTACACTACAATGTCTGTGGGGCTTACTTCATTGAAAGAACAATTTCTTTGTTGGTAATTTCATCTTGATGTTACTCCCCTCTCTTCAGCTTTCCCAAAAGGACGTTTTTCTTAAAATCAGCACTAATATAGTAGTTAAACTTTCTCAATATTATGTAAGAAAATAACACGGAGATAGTCATACAAATAATTAGGCATTGAAACCCTCTGTTTTTCCTGCTGTTGTGAACGTACAGCACTGCTCCAGTCATATTATTTATTTTACTGATCTTACTTTTAAAATGTCGATAATGACCTTGAAATTATAAATGAGCATTGGCTACCTGACATATGGAATGTGAAGATTATTTTTGATATGGAAGGAAAGCATGTAAAGATATTGTCGAAGCCTTTGTACCAACTTCACTTATTTTAGCAAGGTACAGAATTTCAATGTCCTTTTTATTATTTTTTATGAAAAAAATAATATTGAAAAAGATATGGTGAGAGATTATATGACTGTCAGACTGACAGGTACACAAATAATTTACTCAAAATAGTTCTCAATTTTAATTTACTTAATTTATTTATTGTCACCAAAAAATGCCACAAAAGAAACCTATTTTCTCTTTTTAGGGGACAAAATCTGAGTGTGATCACTCTTATGAAAATTCTGGCTTTACCTAGGGAAAGGAAAGTGTCTGTGTTGTGTCTTGATCCATTGGGAACCTATGGATGACAGGCATTGGAACCTGAAATTCTGCAGCATAAAACATGAAGAATGTGCATCAACCTTGACTTGCAGCACCACTTCAAAAGGTGAGGTGAGAGTGCGGGGGTTTTATATCCTGGCAGACTTGATTGCAAAAAATCACTTCTTCAGTGTCTCCCAAAAGTGCAGGTTTTTTTGAAAAAGCACTAAATTATTAATTCATATTATGTGTTACTTTAGTTTCCATTTATTAGGATAAGGTGTTTTCTTTGCTAGCTGTTGTTGACAATCATGGGGGATAAAAACATTCCTTCACATGAAAACTGATATTCTCATCCCGTCACTTGATTCCAGGAGTTCTGATCAACTATAGGAAGACAATCAAATCTCAAGAAATCATATGATTTCCTCTGTTACAGAACTTTCAGTAAGAATGAAAATAGTTCTGGTGTATTATGACCAGTGAATGAGTGTAGATCCCATGTTGTCCTAAATCCTTTTTGAGCTGCTCATAACAACAGATCTTAATGCTGTGTGAATAAATGAGCTGGGGATTTCTTTCCTTTAGCTAAATCCTAGTGTCACAGAAGAATGTCATGCATAGATCTCATAAAAGAAATGATGCTATATTACATCAGAGTAAGGCCTGCATTTAAATGACCACATTCTTCTCTGCAATAAACTTTTAGGCATAGACAACTTCTGGGCTGTTTGTTTGAATATTCTGTTATCTGGTTTTAGACAGGAAGACTTTTTTGATGTACTGTGAAAAAGGCAAAAAGCCCCCATCAACCAGTCAACCAACCAACCAACTAAAAACCAAATCAAAAAGCCACCCTTGACTTCAGATCCTAGAAATGGTCCCAAGTAACTATCAGAATGGTTGCAAGCTACAGAAGACAAGGTAATAAGGGAATCATACTGTTCCTGAAAGGTTATGTACCACCATCTGTAATTAAAATTCTGGTAGAAAAGTATCACGCCGCTGAATTTTTAGTCTGAGCATGCAGATTGCAGAGAAGTTGGAAGGCCAGCTCTCTGCCATCAGTACTCTGCACTGTATTTTTACTCAGATTCGTAAAGCTGAAGTACACTACATAGTTCTGAGTTAAATTTTAAGAGGGAGAAAAAAAATCAGAAAAACATAAAAGACTCAAGTAGCTACATATCAGCCAGTCCATAGCACGGCATAAAAAAAGAAGGATTTTATGAACATTTCAAGTTCTTGCTCTACTATTCTAAGAGACTATTCTTTATTTAACTTTTATTAGTGTAAGAGTGATCTTGAGAAACACCAAATACAGGAGGACGCATTTTCATTGTGTTTAGCAATCATGGATGTCATAGAATGAGGGTAAGTATTAAGAATTGGCATAGTCTAAGAGCCACTCAAATTAAAAATAAGGGATGCATATTTTTAATAGATGAACATGCCAGGAAAATAACACTGGGGAACAATGTCTGCCTCTGAACAAAGAGGGCTCTTTGAAGGCAAAAATAAAGAGATATAAGAAAACAATGAATACAATGGAGGCATCAAAAGAACCCAACAAAAATGATTACGTCAAATAAAAAAAGATTAAATATTTTAAGGTGCAAGACAGATCAAAGGCTTCCTAAAGATATCAAAAACATGATGCCTATAAGGAAATTAAGATGTTAAGAAGCAAAGACAAGTTGATAAAAATGTACATACTACCATTATAGTGGAAAATGAAATACAGTGTTCTAGGGTCAGCCAAAGTACTTGGAACTGATAATCCTTTCATCTCGTATTAGCTAAAATTAAAATATAGAATACACAACACCTGAGAATTTATTATATGATTGAGTTTGCCATCATATTTATGCACAAGAAAAAGGCTAACCTACTAATTACTTAAACTTCTTTGAACATGGAAATAAAAGTAATGGAGAATATGAAATCAAGGATATTTAAACAGTGAGAAAGCCTCTGACTTGGATTCAGGAGAACTGAACTAAGTGTTTTACTGGATTATTTATACTGATGCCAGTGCTAGAGCTAGCTCAAACAGAACTAGGCTAGAGGAATATTTTATGATAAAAAATAGGTGAAAAAAGCTATATTATGAACAACCTGTTCTGTGAAAATATTTTGGTTAACTGAGATGATGTTACAAAGTTTTATTTTGTAAAATTGACATTTTCCGTTGCTGCTTCTTACCTCAGTATAGGTTAAGTACTGTTCATACAGGGAATAAGAAAGATACATAAATATTTACTTGAGAAGATGCTTTTAAACACATTTTTTTTCTATTCAATTTTGTGTCCAAATCTCCAAAACCAGGAATTAGAAAGCAAAGTGATAGATTTTCAAGCTTATAAACTAGGGTTAATGTGACCTTTTTCCCATTAAGTTCTCTAGACTAGGCTTCCAAATTATTTTTTTTTTCCAGTACCCCAGAACCCTTGATGGTTTCAAAGATGTCAGCTAGTTCCTTTGAACCTGGGTCATAACAGGATCCTGCTTCATATTTATCACTGGGACAATTTGTGTGGATTCTATCTTTCTCTTTGCTTCTTGGCATTTTCTTTTGCTTCACTGTTCACGTGGTTGTTCAGCATGTGACAAAACAGTGTCTTCTTCAAGGATAACTAAACAATCAATGTAATTCATCAAACCAATGGCATTGGGGGTGGGAGGATATATGGAGGAGGGATTTCATTTTTTTTCTCTTTTGAAGGTATTAAGAATATATATGTGCTTTATAGACCAAGAAACTGCTGGAGAGGGACCTGAGAGTCAGCTGTAGAGGCCAACACAGTCTATAATGCTTTCAGATAATAACCAGATGATAGCTCCACAATTCCAACAAAGAAACACAAGCAGTATGAACGTACAGTGAGTATCAATTTGTCCATTATCTCTAATGAAATTAAATAATGCATATGGGACCACATGTCTGAAGAATAAATGCACATTAAAATTCTTAACAGTGTGAAGATTAAGGCAATATGATTTTTTTATAGCTTTCATCCAGGGAAAAATAGCTTCCTGCTTGCTTTAAGTAAGATTAGCTGGAAAAAAAATCTATAGTACAACTAGAACAAAGTCTGAGTGGCAACAGGCAAATATTTTAATGTGGAAAGATTTTTATTGGTTTTAATTAAGCAATGACATTTTTGTTGAATGTCTTAAATCTTTAATTACCACCCAAGAGCATTGAGCATGACATGAGTTATTTACTGACTCACTGAGAAATACAGTTCAATATTTTCTTATAAATACTTCATACAGAAACAACAGAAGGCCTTCACTGGAAAAAACAGTGATTTTTAGAAATGTGAGTGTTTCAAGTCCTGATTTGAACCACAAGCAAGACAAGTGAAAGAACGCCAGTGGCTTCCATGAGAGTTGGCTCATGTCTTTAATGAGTATTAGAGCATGTAGTAACTAGAGAAATGTTTTCTTATGACTGACAATGTCCCACAAATCATTGTCACCAAAGAATCTATCACCAAAGGTCAGCCCTGAATATGTGTTTTGGGGTTTGGGGCTTTTGTGTTTTTGTGCTGGTTTTTTTTTTGGTAAAATGACAGCGGGAAGGTCCCACCTAATGTAAACCTTGTTTAAAGTTTGAGATGTCAACTGTAGCAGCTGCATGTGTGGATGTGCAATGTATTATAGATTTTCACAGGAGCTCATCACTCATATATCACAGAGAAATTGGGTTGTTGATTGAAATACAGCCCAGATCAACTGTCGTGGACCTGAGAGAGACACCAGCACTAGCAATGGGTATATATTTATGAATAGCTACAGCTAAGCTGAAGCAGACCAGAAAACAGACATTTATGCCAATCTTTAATGAAAAGTAGAATTAGGGCCTACAGCTCTAGTGTATTTATCAGGTCTCCCTACGTTTTAAAACCCATGGCCTATGTAGTGAGATACGTAGAAGAGGGAAGGAAACAGCAGAAATCACACTGCCTGCATGAAGGTGCCTAATCTGTGTAAGGCAATGCATCTTTCCAAGGTTCCCAGGTACTTGGGGGAAAGAAATCATTGCTTTCCAGGCTCTCTTATCAGCCTTGAATATGGTTCCTATCTAGATCATGATCTGGTGAAGTAAATTTCTCTCCTCTGAATGTATTTGGCTCCATGAAACAAGGCAATTTGTGATTACAGGAACCAAACGGAACAAATGAGATCAGAACAAACCTACAGCTAATGCAGATCCCAATTGGATAGTGATCATCAGAATAGCAAAGTTTGTGACAGCAAAATGCAAGCCTAATTGTAGTTTACCCTAGGAAGAATATGACATTATTTTGTTTTACAGACAATGCAATCCCATTGTCATACAGAGTTTACCTCCGGATTTCTTTTGAGGATCATACTGCAGATTTGTCACAAGAAAGTGAAGGAAACATCTAGATGAATCATGGTTTTAGAGACTAGATTTATGGTAATGAGAGCCCAGAGCAGAAGGAATTGAGGCAGGAGCCCAGAGCTCAGGAGACTTACCGCTCAGGTGGCATAGGGCAACCTCTGGGGCGAGGATGTTGGTGCTGGAGGCTCTGCTCACCATCCACAGTTGGCATGGTGGGCTCCTCCTCCAAAAAGGTCACTTCCTCAGTGTATTCAAGTGTGAGAACCTGGCTCTGTCATCACTTTTCTGTGACCTATCCCTTTCAATAAAATACAGACCTTTTATCCGTAGGAAGGGCAATTTATTCTGTTAATCACAGACTAAATCCAACTGTTTCTGCTTCTGTTGGTATAAGCCCAGGTGGTAGGCCCTCTAAGCAGAAAATCTGCCAACTAGGAATCCATAATAGGAAAAAAACAACTGCTGTTTTTTATATTAAAATCCTGGGCATACTGTGGAGCCAACAATCCTAAGTTTTTCTTTCCCAGAAGAAAGCTTAAAGGTGCATGAAAGTATCAATGCTGCCTGATCACTACACAGATCTTACCTCCAAAACCTTGCAGGGATTATTTGAGACTGAATGATACCTCTCATAGGGGGTCCAGGTTTGCAGTTTTAGCCTCTAGACAGTGTTTACCAACTCTTGCATGACAGTTATCAGCAGTCAGAAAGGAGGAACCTGTGCTTCACTGAAGTTTATGTTCCCTTATTTAGATGTTGTGTACTGAGTTTTCATGAAAGAATGAAAAACACTTAAGACTTAATGAACACAGGATATCCAACATTATAGAGGAAAGAAACTTGTCTCTGTGTCTGTACAGGATTTCTTCACGAGGGTTCCCATCCAACCCCCTCTGCTGGAGTAAATAACATGTCTCATAAACCTGATATAACCAAATTCTAGCCAGTAACTTCTGTAAAGAGAACCACATTATTAAAAGCCTTTAAAAAAATGCCTAGTTCCGTTTAACATCCTTCATAATTTTCTAGCAGTGACTCTGGCAGAACAGAAACTAGAAAACCAATTATTTGGGATATTAAAAGCCTGCTATGTAAAAGCTTACTACAAGAATGCATTCTGAACTCTTTGACTCTACTTTGGCTCACACTTCCATCTTTTTACAAGATCAAGTCCCAGGTATAAGATCAAACACTGCATCTTGCACGTGCTTCCTTTAAAGATGAAATAAAAAAGAACCACCTAGAAATCCTGATAACGTTAGCACAGACGATCGAAATGATACCTTGGATTTCTTGTACCTTATGCTGCTGGAGATATCAAGTTCATAATTTAAGTGATAATATGAGGTTTTTTTCCTTCCATGGGGAAAACATTACCACATTGCTGTGTGAGTATTTGTCCCCAACCAATTTCCAGAACAATATCTAACATCGGCCAGTGAAAGTTTCCTCCACTGAAATTCCATATAAAGTTCACTGTAGGAATGATATCTATGGTCTGATTCCTAGTTTCACTGAAATGACATTATAGCCTTCTATTCAGCTCATTATACATGAAATCAAGATAGAATCCAGGAAAAGTAGTGGAGTTTCATATGTATTTGTGGACGGAAAAAGTGGTTCTCCCCTGCCACTCCCCTTGCAACTTCTTTGTACTTAAAATGGCAGTATACAACATCCTCCAGTTTCCAAATTTTCAGTGAGAGCCAACAAAAGCTACATTTAGGCATGAGTTATGAAGAAAATCATATTAACATTTAAGAGCAAAGCTTTACTTATTTGCGTTTTTTGTATACATCTATCAGTCTTTAGTGATTATTTTCTATGGGTAAATGTTATTTGTGTTTAATGTGACCTATTCGACACTATCCTAAGTGTTTCACTCCAGTTCCACGTTCCACTTGCTGCATTCAAGTTCTTCATGTCACCATTGTGCATAGGAATTTTTGGTGTATTTTTATGAGACAGAGAGAAAGAAAGAGAGATCAAAATGTTTAGTAGGTAAGATAGACATTAGCAACTATCTAGATAGATAATTGCTTCCTTCCATCATAGTTAATTCCACTACCTTATACTAAATTTAAGTAATTTTTTTTTCCTGCCAAAATGAACTTTACTATTGGAACATAAATCCTTTTTGACAGAGGTGCAAAAGCTGTTGATTATCTTCATTTCTGAAGTTTGTTGCCTTGTAGAAAATTTCCAGGTGTTCAGTTACTATAAAGATACTGAGACTGAACTGAAGCACTTTAAGTCGCTCTGATTTCTGTTTACATTGCCATTTAATAAAAAAACCTCAAAACATTTGAGAATTTGATTTTTCATTCTTTTGCTGGATAAGAAAATAAAGGCTTGAAAAAGTTTTAGGACATGAAAACAAAAGTATTACCAGTCTTGCTTTTAGGCTATTATATGTTTTTTAAAACTACGCAAACAAAACATTTTTTTCTCAAGATCAAATTTTACTGCTTTCAATGATGATGGATCTTTGGTAACTTTTGATTCAATTTCCTAGCAGCATGCGGTTTTAGTGGTTTTTTTTCTTGATAGCAGGCAGAAGATTGATGTTTTTCTGATTGTTCTGATGAACTTTAGAAGTTCGACAGCTTTCAAGATGGTCTTTCCTTTTTGTAGAAACTTTCCCTAATATCTGCAAAAATGACAGAAATCTTTAGAAAATTGTTTGGATTTGCTCCCTGCATTAACATCTCTGAGCTTGTTAGTGTCTCAAGGAGGGCAATGAAGATGGTGAAATGCCTTGAGGGGAAGTAGTATGAGAAGCAGCTGAGGGCACTTTTTTCAACTGGAGGAGACAGGGGAGACCTCGTTGTGATCTTTGACATCCCTGCAAGGGGAAGCAGAGGGGCAGGTTGCAGATCTCTTTACTCTCATGAGCAGTAACATGGAGGGAATGGCCTAAAGTTGTGCCAGAGAAGGTTTAGGTTGGATATTAGAGAAAGATTCTTCACACAGAGGGTGGTTGGGCACTGAACAGGCTCCCCAGGGCAGTGGTCACAGCACCAAGCCTGACAGTTCAGGAGACATTTGTATGATAGTCTCAGGCACATGGTGTGATTCTTGGGAATGGTCCTGTGCAGGGCCAGGACTTGGACTTGATGATCCTTGTGGGTCCCCTCCAACTCAAAATATTCTGTGATTCTATGATTCTGCTTGTGTGAATCATGGGTTAATGACCTACATCTCTCTCCTAGTGAAACAGCTTCCCCAGTATGGAATCTATCCTCCAACTGGCACTGACAAAATTTCTTGAAGTGTTTGTTGTTTTTGACATGAAGGACCAGACATGAAGGAGCTGGTGTCCACTTACTGCCCCTCTAAAATAACGGATAATACCTAAAATACAGCACAGAACAGTATTTGAACAGTATTATTTAACTCCAAAATGGACCTTGAAAACCTTCACAGACAAAAGTAAATCAAGCATGTTCTTCTACATTCTGCAGCTTTTAATCTTCATATGAAGTGAACATTCATTATCGAAATCTGA